ACATTCCAACTGATCAGTTCAAAATGAAACTGTTGATATTTTTTTTAAATATAAAATTTGCGATATATCGGTAAATAAACTTCTATATAAAACTCCGATATAGATATATTTATAATTATTGATATATCGAAAATACAATATTTTTAAAAAAAATATCAACAGTTTTACTTTGAAATGATCAGTTGGAATGTTAGAATTTCGACTGTTTCAAAGAGAATCAGTTGCTAACGTGTGAAAGACGTGATCATTCATCATTATCATCAGCATTATAGCCCTTCACAAGTCCACTGCTGAGCATAGGCCTCCCACAAGGAATGCCACAAAGCACGGTCCTGAGCCACCTGCATCCGTCGACTTCCTGCATGTCTTACCAGGTCGTAACTCCATCTAGTGTGGGGAACGCCTTACACTTCGCCTGCCGGTACGAGGCTGCCACTCGAGAACCTTCCTCATCGGTTGTCGGGTCTTTGAGTTATATGGCCAGCCCATTGCCACTTCAGCTTACTAATCCGCTGGGCTATGTCGTTCACTCTGTTTCTACTGTGGATATCCTCATTCCTAAGTGTATCACGCAGAGAAACCCCGAGCCCTCTACATAGCTCGCTGAGCGACTTTGAAGGACTAAGTCTCATGGACTTGACACTTAGTCCTTCACTAACACTTAGGTTATCAATAGCAACACGCACTGGTTGTTCAATCTAATTTGAGGTTTTAAGTTATTCCTGTCGAGAAGATGTGTCGTAATCTCCCGAACGCTGCCCAGCCGAGTTGAATCCGTCGAATTGGTCGAAGTTGGACTTACCTATTATAACAATTACCTATTATAACAATATAGTCGAACTATTTGTCCCAGGTAAACATACGCGTCAACAACTTCGAGCTTAGTGCTCCCAACAACTACCGGCATGACATGGACATTACCCGTGCTTTTGTTTTGTCCATGTTTATCTTAAGACCTAACCATTGGGAGACAGTATTGAGGTCATGAGCATAATGCTTAGGTCCTCGAGTAATTCTGCTATAAAGACTATATCGTCAGCTAATCGAAGGTGAGTGATGTAATTAATATTGTAATGTAATTAACGTTAATACCGTATCGTATGTATGTATGTGGTCTATTATACTGGAGCCTTTTTGGAAACCGGCTTGTTCGGGAGGCTGAAAGTCGAGCCGATTCGTAATGACTCTCGAAAATAGCACGTAGACGCGGCTCAGAAAGGAAGTCGGTCTGTACTTCTTGAATAACATCTAACATCTGTATTTCTTGAATAACAAGACCACCTCACTTCTGCTCCACGCCTCTGGAGTAGTATCACCATGGAAGACGGAATTGAAGAGCTTCTGACGGACTTTAAGTATCTGCTTTCCACCTGCTTTTAGAAGCTCTACTGTAATTCCATCCTCGACCGGGGACTTGCCGTTTTTAAGGTGCTGGAGAGCCATTCCAATTTCGCTCAGACTGACGTCCGGGATATTATCGCAATAGTCTCAGATAAGACTTGCTCTTGGATTTTTACTCACACGTGTGGCTCCAACGATAACGTGTATAACTGCCCATAAAACCTCTCAATCTTACTCAAAATCTCAGGTGTCCCAGAAACGATGCTGCTACATTCGGTCTTCAACTTCGACAGTTGGCTCTTTCTGGCAGACAGATCTCTGGCAAAGACTTTAAAGTTTACGCTTCTTCAATATGACCTGTATTGAAGTTGCCTGTATGCTGTCAAATCTGCTGAAGAGTGAAGCTTCATCTCCTGTCTAACAGCACAGCCATGTGATTAAGCGTGTGATCGGAGTTTTTGTGTTCTTCTGCGATGGGTCTTACAGAACTTAGCTCCAACCGCATGGACAGTTTTCACAAGCTTGTCATTCATATCTTCCAATTCATTGCAGTCTTCTAGGCCCTCAAAACGTTTTTGTAATTTGAGCTAAACCTTTTCGGGGCTTTGGAATAAAGCACGACGGGTACGGAGCGTTGACTTCATTAGACGTGAACTCTCCAACTTCACGTTTACGTTAAAGAAAATTAAATTTACTGAAAATTTCAAATATTTGTCACCGTGAGAAAACAATGTATTCCCAAGGTAAGTCTCGAAAGTTTGTTCGTATTACAAAGACAAGACGCTTTCAAATTTTTAATATAACAGTAAAACATCATAATGACCCACAACGGCTTACCTGTCGCGAGAAAAAAACATTATTTCAATTTTCTGTGTAACTTTCATACTATGCATCCATGTTTAAATCGTAAGCCTTCATGTCAAATATAAAAAGAGAGCGAGACAGATGGTAATCGCCCTCTCGCATATTACAAATGTAAACTTTATCACACATATCGACGACGGTGATCAGTGTCAAAGGTGCGATTATGGCAGATCCTTCCTGCAATGGGAGATGTGCATGTCCAACAGTGGACTATTGTGGGCTGATGAGAAATGTGTAGTAGAACTTCTATTTTCTGTGGTGTCCTTTTATCTAGTGGTAGGAGTCTATCAGGCTAGGTACAACCGTTTTACTTGTTTTTGCCCGTCAAATACTAACGCGTGCACTGTGTTTTCTAGTCTAAAGGGTACAGTGAGACGGAAGGGATTTGTAGACTTCTTTATTTGAAGTTTGTTGCAGTTACTTATGGGCTACAGTGCCGCTTGGCTGATTAATTTTACAGAAAAATATGACCTTATTGTTACATCAAATGTTAGTATTGTAAGATTAATAATATGGCGTAATTAACAACTGCCGAGAGAATCCAACATTCAACATTCGCCGTGTATTGCCTGCGTAAATATTCACTGCCTCAGTTCATCTAGTGAGTGCTTTTAAAGGCGACAAATAGAAATACAACAGGAGATGGAGAGCTGTATCTTCCTAATAACAATTTACTTAACATAATAAAAAGCTAAGGTTGCCAACCCACTTGCCAAACGCCTAAATAATAGACTTATGATTGTTGCTTTCCAATAAATATTAACAAAATTTAATTTAATTCTATCATGCTATTACTAATAATTATGTATATTTAATATGCAAACTAAATATTTTTACTATATCCACCTAGGTAAGTCAATTCCACATTTAAACAGATTGATACAACTTATCGTTATTTGAAGCAGAGCTAAATTACAGCATATAGATAACGTCACAATTCGCAACTGCGATATGATGCTTAAGGAAACTATGCAAATAACTGTTGTAGCCAACTAGTGTTCAAATTAATTCTCTTTCAAGTTTTGACATAGTTTAGTATAAGTAGACAACGATCGATCGATCGTTTTTTTTTTATTATAATCAAACTAATTCTTCAAGTTTTGACATAATTTAGTATAAGTAGACAACGATCGATCGATCGTTTTTTTATTACAATCAAATTAATTTTTCAAGTTTTGACATAATTTAGTATAAGTAGACAACGATCGATCGATCGTTTTTTTATTACAATCAAATTAATTTTTCAAGTTTTGACATAATTTAGTATAAGTAGACAACGATCGATCGATTTTTTTATTACAATCAAATTAATTCTCTTTCAAGTTTTGACATAATTTAGTATAAGTAGACAACGATCGATCGATCGATTTTTTTTTATTACAACCGTTTATTAAATTCACTGTTGAACATATTTCTTTCAATGATTGTCACAAAGCATGGTCCAGAACTACCTGCATCGAGTTCCTGCACGCCTCATCAGGTAATTACCAGGTCCTGTCTTCGTTGCAGCGTCTCAAAAATTCTATCATGGCAATAGTTAGGCCAAAAGATAAGAAACATCATCTTCCTAGACCTAAAACATCAAAGTAATAGTTTTAGGATGAATACGGTCATTTCAGAAGATTATTAAATTTTGCTTAGATAATTATAAAAAAACGTTGTTTTAAGTTATAGATCTTAATCTTAGCTAGTATTTATGTTGACTTGATTCAGTACTCAACCAAACAAATAATTACAAGTGTCAGCTATATTTTTTAATTTATTTATCATTTCAAAGTTGAATACAAAAACATAAGTAAAATAGTATCTATAGGCAACAAAGGTTTCAAAATAATGCTATATCATCTACATCCATTTTTCCAGGTTTGGTAAAAAAATATACATAAAACTACATTGTGTTGCAAGTAGTTTAAATCGGGCTAAATTTACAATTTTGATAACTTAGGTTCTTAAATAACTAGATACTTGGTAAATTCGTATCTAAGTGTCTAGATCAATGTATATTTCTAAGTTCTATATCAAATACATATTGTTCTAATATTTCTCGTGTAATGTTATTACGTAAATTATATGGTAAGTTTATCAGGGAACTAAATAAGTTTGCCGTAGATGTTATTAGCACGGGCAGTAGGTATAAAACCATTTTTGTGCCACTGCTCGTGTGTATACGGAATGTTTAATTTTTTAGTAAGTTTTTCATGAAACAATTGTTCTTTGAGTAAGCTAAATTTAAATTGTGTTAAAATTTTTAGTTGAAGCCTATGTATATATATTTGATTAAGATATGTTTTATATATTTTATATGATACGACGTCGCGGACGCGTCAGTGCAGTGATCAGCTGTTGCTTATAATTTTGTGAATAAAATTGCTAAACAGCTTGAACTGTACTTCTTAAAAATATGGTTAAATGTGGAGCTTGTGGTAAATTCTTTTCTACGGCAGAGGCCATTAAATGCGGACAATGTCCAGTACTATATCATCGAGCTTGTGTTGGAGTCTCTGACCGCTCTAAGATCCATGAACGCTGGCAATGTCTAGAGTGTAAAAAGACTGTGCCAAAGGGAAACAACTCTTCTACTCCAGTTAGGGGCATGGTTGCCGAGAGTGAAATTTTAAATCCTGCAATCTCCGGAACAAGCAGTGACTCAGAAAAAAACTGCAACTAGCTCCCCTGAGTCTTTTCATCGGGAACTGATTCCAGAAATTCGACTTTTCATAGAGGAATTATGTAGGGTCAGGGAAGAGCTAAAAGACTTTCGGAGGGATATGATTGAACTACGGGAATCTTTAGTGATGAGTAATAAGAGAATGGATGAAATGGAGAGCAGGATTAGTATTCTAGAACAGAAGACTCAAAGCAACAGTAACAGGTCAGTCGAAATAAATGAGCTCGAACAAACCGCTTCCCGACTTACGCGTGAGCTTAATGATCGGGAGCAGGAGTTGCTTGCAGCTGACCTTGAAATCACAAATATTCCGGAAGAGAGGACAGAAAACATCACTCATACGGTCGTGTTGGTGGCTGCAAAGCTGGGAGTATCGCTGGACGAGAGGGACATTGTTTTCGCGGATCGTGTAGGAACAAGGAAGCAGGGTGACAATGCGGATGGAGGTCGGGGCCATGAGCGTCGAGTGGTGGTGCGTCTAGCGCGCCGCCAGCTGCGCGAAGAGTTATTGCGAAGCGCACGCGTGCGGAGGAATGCTACCACCACTGACCTTGGCCTGCCAGGTCCACCTTGTCGCTTCTATATTAATGAGCGTCCCTCAAGAGCTAATCGCTAACTATTTTACCGAGTACGAGAGGCAACAAGGCAGCTACGGTGGAGATATACATAGACCAGATATGGTAGAATCTATGCTCGCCAGGGAGATGGGAAGAAAGTAGTTACGTTGTACCAGTTCTGGCGCACTGAGTCAGAAGTCAGAAGTACGACGTTCGTCGACACACGATACAAAAAAAAAAGAAAAGGTTTTGGCATGCTCTGGTCACGAATCTGCGGTCCATTTTTGCGTAGGATGCACGGTTCCGGAGATGTGCAGATCAATTAACTCTTATCTAATTGATGTCTGGTGAAGGCCTCCACCGTCATTAGCGCTCCATTGTTCTTATCTACTTATCTATTGTTCATTGAAAACCGTCATTATCTATTATTCCTCAGCGTGTGTATTATACTCCTTTGTTCCTATCTACAACACTAATCTGAATCAACAATAAAACACATTACCTAATTTTGTTAAAATTTTTATTTATAAAATACAAAATCTTATTACTTATTATCTATAAAATAGGAGCGAAACATCTCATCCACTAAAATATCGTTGTACAATGTGTTCCCTGTAAATATACTCGTAAAACTATGCATTGAACATCCCTGAAACTTATATAGCAAATACATTAAGCAATATTCGCCACAAACTGAAGTCCACTCATTCTGAATCCTATCAACATTCCAGTTCCATTTTTTACATTTCCTTCTAAAAACTCTAGATGATATCGTACAGGTGCTCGTCCGTATAAATCAAAATATTGACCGACGTCATAGATATCGATATATAAAGCTACCCAATGTGACCCTGGTTTATCATCTGTACCCAAATTGCATATTACCTAGTCAGGTCATAAATTCTATCACATGTTTAATATAAAATAATTGAAACAAGTTTATTCATTATGTAACCATTTATATACCAAAATGAACTTAACAAAACATAAATTCTTATGACACTATAGTTTATTCAAAATGACCTCCGTGATTTTGAATACAGGCCTTTAATCTGCGTGGCCAGTCGTCTATCGCAGCACGAACGAGGTCCATGTAAATATCGGCGGCTGCCTTAATCAAGGATGTCTTGAGTGACTCCAAATTGGGATGAGGCTTTGAGCACGCCTTTTTCTCCAAGTGTTGCCATATCTTGTAATCTAACTGATTCAAATCTGGACTGGAGGAGGGCAGTCTTCGTGCCGGATGAAGTCGATTTCACGCGCCGCCAACCAGTCTTGTGTGCTCTTCGCTCTATGAGCTGATGCCGAATCTTGTTGGAATACCCAGTGCCTGTTATTGAACATGGTATGAGAAACAGGTTACACAAGGTTCGTCAGGACTGTATTTTGATAAACAACTGCATTCGTTTTTACACCTTTCTCACAAAAATGTACCTCTGTTAAGCCCCAAGAAGAAACTCCCAACTATACCATGAGCGAGGATGGAAAATGACCTCGTTGGACACACGGAATACGGTTGCTCGCGTCTTCACTACTGTGTTCGTACACCTTATCATTTTGTTTGTTGTAGCTCTCTTCTACGGTAAAAAAAATTTCATCCGAAAAAAGAATTTCCCGATATTTTTTCCCGCGTACCGCTTCAACAAAGCGCGGCATCTCTTCAGTCTCAGGTCCATTAGACGAGCATTCAAACGATGTCCTGTTTTTCTTCAATATGCCCGAAGCCCTACGTCTTCATTTAACACCCTTTTCACCGTGGTTCTGCTTAACCCCATCTGAAGGGCCAACAGTTTCTGTTTACGTTTGGGATTTCTTTAAATTCGCGTCTTCACAGCTTTTATCACTGCTGGAGTCCTAACAGACCGAGGGTGACCACTTCTTGACCTGTCATCTACACTAGAGTCTTCATTGTATCGTTTGATGGAACGATAAACGAATCTTTTGGTTATATTCAAATTTTTCAGTATGTCAAAAATTTGAATTGGCGCGTAACCGCAAAGATGCAACGCAATAACTGCAACATGGTCTTCTTTAAGCGTCCACTCCATATTTAAAAATGAGTAAAATGTTAAAAGTATACAGTTTTATTTTCATGAACAATTCGAATTCAATAAACTTTTTTGTGGCCAGCATTCTAAAAGAAAAGTTTTTACGGTGTGACAATACTTATGACCTGACTAGGTATATACGTTGGTACGTGTGTGTACATGGGCAGTCTATTAGCAGCATAAGCATTATTTTCTAGACTGGGGTGAATCTTTTTCAGATATTGTTGTACATCTAGTGTATCCATGATATTACTGCTATTAGTAGATTATTACAGTACAATCTACTCAATGACTAACATAGGAATGATCAATTATAGTGATTTCTAAATATTAAATTGCATTATTTTGTATTATACAAAACGTATTTGAGTCATCAATACACTGAACAAGACGCGACACGACGTAATTTTGAGATAAGCAACAGAATGTGAGATAAGCTTGTTGACGCATAAAGTTATTATCAATTCCACTGTAGAAATTCTTTAGATTAGAATTATTACTTACTGGTACTATATAAGACCAAGCAACTGCAGTCATGGAGTTAGTGTATGGTCGTTTGACCGCAGTGGATCTATCAACACTACATTTGTGTTACTTCAACGCATCAAAGGCCATAGATGTAAGTGTTAAATCTATTGACAAACTTACTTATCTTTCCGTTATTTTCTTACGTGTGTATGATTTAGTGTTAACTAATTATATTTAAATATTGTGTGTGTATATGATTAAGCCGTGGCAGCTCAGGTGGTTAGCGCAAGCTGTAAATTTCACAGTACGCGCCCCGGGTTCGATCCCTGCCGGCACCAATTAAATTGTTAATTGCAATTTTAAGTGTTGATTTACCACGTGTTCGGCGGTGAATGAAAACATCGTGAGGAAACCTGCATGTCTGAGAAAATTTCGAAGGCATGTGAAGTTCGCCAACATGCATTGAGGCCACGCCGCGGACATTTCCTAGCCATAAATACAAAGAAAATAGCAGAAAGTGAAAAGTTAAAAAATACTTTTTTAACAATGACAGTCATTAGTTGATCATTAATGAATGTGATTCTGTTTACTTAAATTACAGGAAGACAAGAGCAGAAGGAAGAAATGGGATGATGGGAAGTAATGAAGCATTGTTATGTAAAGTTTGTTGGAACAAATATATTTTTAGTCACATACTTTTAACATTTTGGTTTAAAATGACACAAAATCTAAAAAATATTAGATACATCATCGACATGTACGGATTTTACATTACATATCCTCATAAACATTTTCAATGTAGAGAAATGGCTATTTTAGATGTAAAACTATCTAATAAAAATGATGCGTTTATCGATCATTATTTGTTTCGGCCAAGTTATCCTTGTAATAATCATATACTTGCAAAAAATAATCACAAAATTTTACATTGTACTTGTGACGAAGTGTGGGTTTCTTATAAGTGGTTATTGCTTGAAAATAAAATTTTAAATTAATCATAAATTGTGTTTGATTTCACCCCTTAGAACTTTAGACGTGTGTAATGTTTCACTTTATACATCCGTTTACTGCTATTGTGGCAGGACCAAGTGGAATGTAGGAAGTCAAATTTTGTAACGAATTTCATAAAATCAGTTACAGAAATATGTAATTGTGATTTTAATCAGATCACATGGTGCTTTGATGAAATGCAACCTTTATATAATTTACCAAATGTTAACTATCATCAAGGAATTCCAAATCTTAATATGTTTGATGGTGAAACTCAACAAATAACCATCTATTAATAATAGTATATTTACATCAGCATATCATACTCTATTCTCGGGGACTGGTATTCACTTCCTTTATGAAGGAAATGGAATCTCTTGTGAACAGTATGCCAAAGGTTACTGTCTGTTAGCATTTGACTTAACTCCTGATTTATTAGCCAACTCATCAGCTCATTGGAATCTCATAAAGCATGGTTGTGTAAGATTAGAAGTACGATTTGAATCCTCACTAATACAATCAATTAACTGTATAGTTTATGCTGAGTTTGATAATATTATTGAGATAGATAAAAACAGAAATGTTACTGTAGACTATAGTAATTAAGGTTATAATATGTGTTGTGTGTTAGGTTTTATGTGTTACGTGTAATGCATTTTGTGTGTATGTAACTATGTAAATCGTTATAAAATTAAATAAAGCAAATTGTATGCAATATATTATTTTTTATTTCTTTATAAATCTTCTATTTAATGTAATACAAAACACTGTTCGAGTTTAAAGTTACATCGGACTCTCTCATTAGATCATCAATAATAACGAGATGTGGGTTTTCACCATCAAACATTTTAAGATTTGGAATTCCTTGATGATAGTTAACATTTGGTAAATTATATAAAGGTGGCATTTCATCAAAGCACCATGTGATCTGATTAAAATCACAATTACATATTTCTGTAACTGACTTTATGAAATTCGTTACAAAATTTGACTTCCTACATCCACTTGGTCCTGCCAAAATAGCAGTAAACGAATGTATAAAGTGAAACATTACACACGTCTAAAGTTCTAAGGGGTGAAATCAAACACAATTTATGATTAATTTAAAATTTTATTTTCAAGCAATAACCACTTGTAAGAAACCCACACTTCGTCACAAGTACAAAGTAAAATTTTGTGATTATTTTTTGCAAATATATGATTATTACACACATAACGTTTGTTTAAATTTATGACATTTACCAAATCATTGTATTTTGGACATTTGTATTCTTCAATATTAAAAATTCTATCATTCGTCGTCAACATTTTTAAAAATTGTTTTTCTGTTGAACCACCTTTGTATGCGAGTACTATAACTAATGTTTTTGGGAAATCAAACAAAATTCATGATTAATTTAAAATTTTATTTTCAAGCAATAACCACTTGTAAAAAAACACAAACTTCGTCACAAGAACAATGTAAAATTTTGTGATTATTTTTTGCAAATATATGATTATTACATACATAACGTTTGTGTAAATTTATGACATTTACCAAATCATTGTATTTT